ACCGGACGGCAGCGCGCGGACCGCCTTGTGCCCAAACCTCACTTGGTCTTTGCGGGGATGACAAGGGCTCATCAGGGGCTCTCAGCGCCACGATAAGGTCGGGCTATTCCCACGTTCGGAGATTCTTCAGTCTTAGATGAGGCCCCGAAAGACTTGGCCCCACTTAAAGACAACATGATGGCGTATAGTTAATTGAATAAAACTGACCCGTTGATTTCATTTACATCCGAATATGGCCGTGATATTTATAGCTTTAAACAGTGCATTTAAAGTTGTAAAAAGTGTTTACTTGTTGAAGTGACAGGGCATCTTTCTAGAAGATTCAAAAGTGGGGACAAGTTGGAACGAGATGGAGAGAGAGAAGGAAGCGAGGGTGAAGGGTTAGCAGGTCCGGAGGTGAGGGCTCACCGCCGGCCAGAGGGGGTCAGTTTTCCATCAGGCTTTCTGTTACATGGAATGGTGGAAAACCAAGTCAAAAACGGTTGTTTTACAGACACAGGATAGCTTAGGACAAAATTAAACCAGACCAAAAGTAAAGACCCGAGAAAATGGAGGTCGCGTGGAGGTGTGGGCAGGGGTACGCGTGAGGCTCCACACAGCGAGACGTTAACATGGGCTTCTTTGCAATAGGCGACGCCTGGTTTAGGTGCCACACCTTTTTATCATCTGCAAGATAGCTTAACAGAGACATTACCACCACTTTAGCGTACCGTGAAGGAAGTATGTAACGGGTGTGTTAACTCCCAGTGGAGAGACTCTTTATCGCAACAATAAAGAACCCTGCTCTACTCACCCATCAGCAGCAATGAACACAGTAGCTTCAAAATACCTTCCTATCCAAGGTTAAGGTGGGATTTTTTTTTCCAAATAGATTTAAGAGTAACAAGTGTGCCTTTGTTGACTATTAAAGCAAAAATGTCCTAAGTCAGAAAGTCAAAGAGAAGCCTTATTTCACAGTCTGAGGCTAGAATGGAAAAATGGAAACAGCAGCAAGTCGTTATACGTGCTTCTAAGTTTTTTGTGGCAAATGAAAAATGCATATGAAGTGCTGTGTGTGACCTGCAAGCACAAATGTAAAGAATCACAGTGTGCTTAGTAGCAGGAAAAAAATGAGTACAAACTGAAATCTCTTGTGAAATAATGCAAAATATATGCCAAGCAGCATAGACTATTTAGCTAGGAATTAAACTTTCCAAGTTTTCTCTTTTTTTTCATGCCCTCCCACTGTGTTCTGTGCACTTTCCCAACTGCAGTGTAACTGGCCTACGCACTGTGTTGGCTCCAGGTCCGCAGGTATTTGAGGCGTCTACGCGCCGCGCAGTGATCAGCACGCAGGTTCCGGCGTCACGGTACAAAGGCGCCGCATTATGATGAGTGCATTCCCCACGGTGTACATCTCACCCCGCAGCTCGTCCACGTCGTACCTGGGAAGTCTGCACCTCAGTCTCTCCCAGCAATTCACTCACCCAATCCCCGAACTTTCCAACTTCTCTTAAAGATTTAAACCAAGTCCTTTAAACTGCAGCACAAGTCCACATGGAATCTACGAAACGTGAACGATTTGCTCTCACAGAGACCGCACGGCTGGCCAGAGCAGCCGCGGACACACACGCTAACACACAGGCTGGCTGGGCCGCCCTGCTGCCCACGGCCTCTCAAAGGCTACTTCTGCACTGCTTTCTCTTGACATCTAATTGTAGAAATGAACTGTTTTCTGAAATATCCATTTAAAGAAACCATATGCTTGGCCAAGATTTTCAAAGTTGAAATACTGTAAAACAACAACAACAAAAGAGACTGGAATGTTTTGTTTTTTGTTTTGTCTTTTTTTTTACTAAAGTCCAGAAATTTCCATATGACAAGTACGTTAATGAAATGTTCCCAAAGAAATACTGAACAATATACACTCTAGTTGGCTGAGGGTTCCAGCTCAAGAGTTCATACCTAATTCCTGTGCATTAAAAATCAGCATGGCTCTTAGATGATCTAGAATACACTGTGTTCTGAAATCCACAGCTGGTTTGATTTTTAGCCATAATGAAAAACCAGTATTCCTGTTCCACCAAATGTGTTTTACAAGCAATAATAAATTCAGATCCACTGCATTATGCAACACACACCTTTGGAAAGCAACATAAAACAGTGAGATCGGATCAGTAGAAATATACACAGTTAAAAGAAATACACAAAGTACTGTAGTTTTATTAAAAACTACTACTTGAGAAAGAAATCTTTCCACAAATAGCATAAAATTGTAGAACTGATGAAAGGATTTGGGAAAGCTTTACAAAACCCTAATTCCAACTGTATCTTCCCGAGGGCGGTGGCAAAGGGTATTTCCTTCCTTCTCTGGGATATCCCTGGGGGAAAAAAAAAGAAAAGCAAAATAAATGAAGAGTTTAGTTTCTGGATTAACACCCCTGCAAAGAAATCAATCTCACTTCTCCATGGAAAGACACACCATCAAAAAGGTGGCTGTGTCTTAAAGGTACGGCACGTGGGGGCTTCCACAAACAGGTGCTTTGGTCTGCAGCTTCACAGGAAGCTGGCTGCAAAGGTGGACATTAGCATAAATGCCATCACTGACTACTAACCAAACAAGCCTCAACAAGTGCTTAAGAAATTCCTTAAAATGCACACAAATGAAGGACAGTCAAGTGTCCTGTGCAGGCCCTCCCTCCTCCCTACCCCCCACAGCAATTCAAGCCACACTGCGGTGTGAGGCGCCCGCACCACCTCCAGAAAGTCCTCGTGCTTAACCAAGGCAGGGGCCTGGCTGCTGCAGCTGAGGCCTAATGAGCTATTAATTACAGGCATTTTTTTGTTTGTTAAGCTATAAATAATAGAGCGTACCACGTCAGCTCATTACATCATCAATTACTGGCAACATATTTCCTCATATGCTTGCAAATCCCATTTCTGTACAGCCTACAGACAAGACGTGCCGCCTCCCCCGTCACCATGCCCCTCAGGCCTCTGGGATTCTGACATGGACCCGTCCCCCTGCGGTCACCCAGGGCACTTCACTGGTTCACAGTACAGGATGAGGATGTGCAGACCCTCAAGGCCACAGTATGTAGGCTAAGGCTTTCTTTAGCCATATAACTCCACTAAAAATGCAGTGAAATCATAATTTCATTTTTAACAATGAACTTTTATAATTTAATAGTGCTTCAAAATTGTGATTTAATTAAAAAAATCTCAGCAGAAACATGTACTTCCAAAAAGTCTTAAAAGAATTATAAATGTACCAACTGGTTTATGTCTTCTCAGTGAAGAAGAATTTTACCTCCTGTAGCAGCAGAGCCCCTTTAAAGGGAAGGTCTCCCCTAAAGGAGGCAGGAGAGGCGATGAAGCGGGGGCAGGGGTCACAGACGTCCCAGCTCTGCCGCCAAACAGCAAGAGGTTTAAGTTTTAACTCCTGACTTGGAAGCCAAGCTGACAGCACGGCCCGCTCTCCAGGGCTTCCTGCAGCTGTGGCACGCCTCCCTTTCAGCAGTGTGCATTTTCTAGGTCGCTGAGTGCCACCTGTACCATAAACGGTCTCGGCCTACTGGCTCTGCTGACACCAGTGTTAGTGATTCTGGGCCATCAGTATTCATAGTAATAGTCTATGAAATGATTCTAAAGAACTAGAATAAAATTTTCTCGAAAGACAAGATGATTACTTTCTTGTAAAGTGAACTGAGACTTCTATGAACACACCAAAAATGTGTGAAAAAAAAAAGACTTTTCTTAGCTGTCAGAGCAAAGGTACACACGGCAAGACCCTGGGCCGGAAGAATAACGAATGCCCGTGGCCCCACAGGCGGCGCCAGGCGAGCAGCTCGAAGAGCAGGGCAGGTGGCCGCAGGTGCTGGCCCGCCGACACCACGCGCCCTGCGCCCCAGCGCTCGGGCCCCGCCCTCTGGCAAGGATCTGATGAGAGAGCATGTGAATACTGGCCAGGCTGCAAATGGCCAGGCAAACAGTCCTTAGGCTTAAACGCTGCTAAAACTGGATGCTAGAAAGAGAAGGAAATGAGCTCGCGTGGGCTGCCTCTGCCCAGGAGCTGCCGTGCTCACTCAAGTAGACACAGCTGTTTAAGTCTAGTGAAAACAGCAAAACGTGTATGGAAAATCATGCAGGAGATTTCTGTCCATGAAGAGAGAGAGCAAACGAATGAAGACAGAAAACTTCTAGGAGGAATAAGGAGCTGAAAGGTGTGATGTTACTTTCAGCTTCTAGAAAATTACCATTTATTTTGGGAGATCTAGTTTCTATTAAAACAAAAAGCGACTTCCTTAAAGGATAAGCAATGCGTTTTGGTGAGGCCCGTGTTTAGCACACTAAGTGTCAGACTGTTGTGAGTAAAGGGGCTTCTGGTCTGAAAATTCTTCAGCATCCTCAAGGTAGAACGTATTTAGGGGGCAGATACTCACCACGTATATACATTTTTAACGAGGGATCCAAGTTCCGCCGAGCTATTCTACCAACACCTTATCGAGCTGTTTTAATTGAAATATTTAAAAAAAAGGAGTCCCAAGAGGCATGGCAAAGGGAGCAGCAAGCTTCCACCCACACCCGCGCTGCGTCACCTGTCTCCCCCCGCGATCGTCGCGTCGGGGTGGGTACCCGCCCGGCCCCGCGAGCATCTGGTACTGGCTTGGCTGGAAGGCTGCGTTTTGGGTCTGGAGCATACGGTTCCACGGCAGCAGAGGTTCAGCCCCAACACCTCTGTGGAAAAGCATAACGTCTGCATTAAAAGCCACGTGCATCACACAGTCAAAGCCTAAAAACTGGCGGGTATCCTCCCCAAACTCTAGCCGACCCCGCCCGCCTGCAGCCGTTGTGTGTGATGCGCGGCACCAGAGTGGGCTTTGTGTCCCTCGTACCTACTGTGGTTTAAGGTGTTTCACGAAGTATCAGACTATTTAAAAGGGTGTTTAAACCCACTTGAATCAGAAAGGTCTGACTAAAAAAAATATTTTGTTTGCCTTCAACTGTAAAATTTCCTTTTTCAGTCACTTAAAGATTCGGACCCAAGATCACCAAGCTGGCAACCTGTGAGATGCTATCCGAAGAGTAAACATGTACAAGACAGGAGAATGAGGCTTTATTTCTGAAAAAGTCCAGGCTCGTTCTTGGAGTCTATTCTTTCTAGTTAATTGCAGGTTGCAAATGAATTCTTACTGCTGAGTATTTTGAATCCAGGGTAGGGACCTTGGCTGTTTTTTCCCATCCATTATTCTGCTCAATATGTCAGAAGGTCTGATCGGGAGGAAACCTTTTCAAGTTCTATTGATGCAGCTTTCAATTGACCACGGTGACCTAGCAACATGAGCACTAATTGGCCTGGGCTGACTGGCACTGGGTGTGCAGCTTACACGGGAACACATTCAACAGCCGTTGTAACCCAGTGTGCCGGCCCAGGTTACTAGTCAAAAGAAATGTTTTAATTGTCTTCAAGTGCCTATTTTAACTTTGCAGATACAAAGCAACAGGTATGATGTTATCAAATCATAACAATTTAAAACTATCATGTAAATAATCCAGCAAAGATCTACCCTCTAAAGGCAATCACCACGCAAGACATCCTTGGCGCATTTTCCTCAACTTCCACCTTATAGAACAGTCACTGCACAGAATAAGCAGAAGCAGGATCCTCCAGTACGTTTTAACATTAGAAGCTTTGGGGCCATTACTGACACTGGGAGGAGCTACAATAAAACTTTAAATGGGCTGAAGCTCTGACCAGCTGGGAGCAGCTACAACCACGTTAGCACATGCATCTCCCTTCCCAGGTCTCGGGGCGGGGGGGGGTGGCGAAGCTGGGCTCACCGGGCAGTGCGCTCTCCTCACAGCCATTCAAGCCCGAGTCCACCCTCTCCACCCTCTCCCCTCCTCCCTTCCTGTGGCGCTTGCCCTTTTTCTTTAAACACCAAAGATCATTACTTTGTGTGATGAGCCCAGAACAGCTCTCCAAAGGACTCTAGAAAGGCCAGTGCTGTTCTTCATGGTTAGTGGTGAAACCACAGTCCTAATAATATAATTTGCTTTATAATAAATACAAGTGAAATAAAATGAAATGAAAAATCTGTGTCTCAGAAAGAATACGCATATGTTCAGGGCTGCCAGTTAGCTTTTGCATTCCCTGATACAAAGGTATTTTAGCAAGACTGCCTCATCTGTTTAGCAAGAGCAGCTCCACACAGAGAGAGCGGCGTGGTCTGCCTGGCCTCTGCAGGACTGCAGGCTCAAGGTTTACGCTGTGACCAAGGAGGTGCATTGAAACCGGGCCATTAAGGCAAGAGCCACTGCCAGACAGCAGTGCAGCCCACACACTGGATTAAATGTGATCTATTCTTCTTTTTGGTTTTACAACGATAAGACTCACTTGAGTTTCAGGAAGATCTGCTGGTTTGGATAAAACACATTATAAATGCAATTTTAAGTGATTTTGTTCTAAAAATGTTAGGAAAAAAGCCACAGTTTAAAAGCACAAAGTTCTCCTTTTTGTTTGCAAATACTTACAAGCTGAAATTTGCCCTGGAAAATACACTTTAAATCTGGGATGGAAGCACTGAGAATGACACGTTTTAAGTGGACGGGGGCAACTTACATGAGGCGTTTGGAATGAGGAACGGCAACAATAATCTTAAATTTCTAAGCCACTGTTTTGGAAAGCAGCTGGCCATGCGCCACGGCTACGCGCTACCCTCTGGGGCATTTCTAATTTGCAAGTACGGCAAATCAGCTTTTAAAACTCTTCTGTGACTAACTGAGCTTAGCACCTGTACAATGAAAATGGAACAGCCACCTTGGATCTGGCCGGAAAAGAGCCTCCTCCACTGGCAAGAAGGAGACAGAGGCGGGGGCAGGTGCGGCCCCGCCCAGCACCCACACCGCGGTTGCCGGGTGTCGCTGTGGGGAGGTGGGGGGGCGAGGCCAGGGTGTTCCCCGTGTATTGTGAAGTGAAATGAATTTATGAATTATAAATTTTATCTCAAAGTAGGAAATAACTCAAGAAACAATGTAGTTTTTTTTAAAAAAGGTACAAAGTTTTCTTCTCCAACAGGGTTCTCAACCAAAAGCTCAGAAGAGTGCAGTGGAAAAGCACTGAACTAATAATAACAGTCAGTAAACCCGGTCCTAGTAAGAATTCTGTCCACCAGCTGTGACACCTCAGCCAAGTCAAAGTGACTCTGCGCCTCGTGAGGCCAGCGGTGAGGGCGCTGCCCGCGCGGCGGGGCTTCGCGAGGGGCTT